ATGTCAGTGGCAAAACTCAAATTGAATTCAATGGGACAAAGACTTCTCTCCTACTAAATTACAGGAAATTCTAAGATCCTGACTTTCTATAGATGAATAAGAGTTAGTAGTTGCTAGAACAAGAGCATGTCATAAAGGAATATGGTAGAAATGAAATCAAGGCCTCAGTCTTGCAATGAGATGCAACGCGCTGAATCCTTGAGTTCGCTAGAACTTCAGGCAGATGAAGGGGCTCCATCTCCTGAATACTCAGTGAACATCAAGGTCTAAGTCACCCCCAGTAGATTTATACCGCTGTGGTGAGGGGCTCAGTCAGGCCATTGAAGGGATTAATCCCCTCAAACTGCTCCAGCTCTGTGTGCACCAACCCGGAAGCAAGGAGATGAGGAGACTCAGGGTATGCTCCTTGTCCCATTCCCAAAATCTGCATTTCTAGTGTCTCAAGAGCAGCAGTATGAAACAACCCCAGGTCATTCTTACTCCCTGATTTCAAGAGTTGTTGTGCAAGGAATGGGAGCAGGTGGCTGGGGTTGATTTCTTGGTAGTGTGACTGAGCAGTCTTTCACCTCAGTGTGGTCCATGAATGGACCTAGTATTTTCAAAAGGCGGGTGCAAATGGTATGTCACATCAGTGCATATAACACAACATTTATTTTTCTCCAGTTAAAGAGAAAATAGATGCTTTACTAATCTGCTAGGGAGCTAGTGCTATATTATTCAGTTTAAGAACAAAGCAAAAACAGATCTATTAAAATGTGCACTAATTAGCTAGATTATATATATTTTAAACAACACAAAAACCTAGACAAATAAGAGTTAAACTAGCCAAAAAACATTGTGTCGTTAGCCCTGTAGTCATTATAGAAAATGTATGTCTCTTATAAAACAAAATCTAGTTTCCTTGAGTGTCTTGACAGTACTTCCAATACATTGCTGTCAGTCAATTCTGCACCTGAGTTAAGGTTTTCACCGGAACTAAAGACAGTCTGAAGGACTGATGTAAAAGGGGGGCCTTTCCAGGAAAGGCTAACAGATAGCAAAATTGCAGAAGAAAGGTTAGTTTGCATAGTGGACCTTCAAGACCATTAAAAAGCAGAGAAGTTTTTAACACTTATGGTGTAAAGAGACATTAGCAGGAATCAGGGAGATAATAAGCCATGAAGTCAATTGACTTTCTCAGGATTACCAGAATAGAAATGCCTATGTCCCTTCCAGGATTTAAAGTTTGGGTGAAGCAGAAATCAAAGGGGGTGAGGGGCAACTGCACCTCCCATCTGTCCCCACTCTGGATCTGTTCTTGCTGTGGCCTAAGAGCCAGATTTTCAGATTGCCTTCAACAGAATTTTGCCATCTATGCTTCTGAAATACTTTTGAAAATCCCAATAGGCATCCATTTCCATCTTCAGGCATCTAAATTACTTTGATAATTATCTCTGAGTCCTTGAGACTTTCTTTTTAAGGTGTTCTGTCCAAATTTCCATTTTACATGGTGATACCAGCCCTAATGACTGAAGGACATTAAGAGCTATGAATGTTAAGCAAACGTGGGCCATATTTTAAAGGCTCCTCCAATTTTAGGCTTCAATTTTGTGACAGTTAGTTTTGGGGGTTCCAAATGGTAATGTATACAGTACTAACCATCTGATTTGTAAAATTGAGCAGGTAATAAGAACTCAGTATGCTATTGTCTCCTCCCACAAATGGATACAAAATTGAAAGTGAAAAATTAGAAACATTTTAAATGCATTGTCCCAATATTTATAGTGTCCTTTTTTGCTTTTGTAGATATTCATCACTAGAATAGAAAACAAACCAGTATTTGTTGTCATCACCATTGATGTTTGTTGGATTATTATTATTTACTAAGTATCATAAGTGTGCACAGTACTTAACAACAACTAACAGGAAGTGTAGACAGGCTCTGCTGTAGAAAACTTAAAGACACCCTATCTAGGCAACACACATACAAATAACCGAGGAGATATTACTTCAGTCAAGACTTTGGACATGACATCTCTTGTCTTATGAAAGGCTTGCATAGACTCTCATCTTCCATATTCCAATACCTTTATGCAGGGGACCAATAGCAAAGAAGCTTTGTTTCTACTGGAAAATGGAAGAGATCTTCATATTTATTATGAACCTGATATCAGAAAAAAAATAAAGAAACCATCTTTGGTGCCTTTCATTTTAAAGTTTTGTGGTTACTGTATTAAAAAGATTTTCCAATCAAAATTGGCAAATTTAAAAATAGAAGGACTATATTCCAGTTAACTATTGTGTAAGAGCATCACTGTAATATTAGGTGCCAACTAAAATGAAGGTACTTTAGGTAGAGGCTTTAGAGTATGCACTTCATCATCCCATACTTACACAATCAAAGTTGATGATGGCAGGGAGGGAGTCACAAAGTTTATTCGCACAAGGTAAATGGCATGCAGGCAATTGGAAGAAAGACTAGATTCATATAGAGAAAAGACAAAAACCAGAAAAATAAAAAAGCTAGCCGAAACTCCAGTTCTGAGACTGAAGTTAATATGGCCAATGTATTCATCCTCCATCTGACTCCATAGTAAATCAAGCCAAAGAATGTGTTCTTTATTGTTTCCATGATACCTACTCATTGACAAGCCATTCCCCTTTTAGATTATTCTATTTTTAAGTCATAATTTCCATCTGTTCTTTGATCTTATACCACATAAGATATTTAGCTAATAACATCATCCGTCAAATAGCAACTTTCCTTTAGAGCTGAAACACTATCAACCCAGGATTCAATCCATCTGGTGATCAGTGCCTCTTAACAGGTATATCTTGTGAATGGCCACTTCTATATACAAAGTTATCAATTTATTTTTAATTATCCAGATAGCTTTGTTGTTACTTATGTTACACTTCTGCAGTCACTGGATTGATGTTTGGGTGACTACAATTCTGTGGCAAATGACTGAAACACATATCATACCTCAAGTATGCCTCAGTGGAAATACAGGAAACATTGTCATAGCTACTGTATTCTGTCTATCAGACAAATTCATGTGGCCCTTGTTGGTTCTTTTTTTTTTTTATAGATTTGGCTCTGTCTTCAACTTCTTAGGAAATTAATGATTATTATGCGTGTCACAGATAATATCTAAACAAATAAATTAATTAAAAAGTCTGAACTTTAAAAGCTGATACTCTTTAGAAAAGATTAATAAAGTGAAAAAAGAAATTTGTAAATATCTGCTTGAATTTTTAACCACAAATATTGACAATGCTTGTATTCCTCGTATGAAACATGTCAGAGCTGCAGGGAGGATTAACTGCAAAAACTGTATCTGTGCACTTAAGTATGTATGTAGGAAATGTTTGCCAACTCTTCCAATCACAAAACAGAAGAAATACCATATGACTTGTTTGATGACTTGTAATAAAGTGCCATAGCTTGAAGTTGGAATATCTGGAAGGGACCTATAGAGTAAAAAGTCCTCAAAGTTATTTAACAGAAAAAAAAAAGAATAATAAACAAGCCCAAGGAAACTGCAGTTGCCTTATGGCTATTTTCCAAGCACAGAGGTCATTTTTTTCAAATACATTATTAGTTGCAAATTATTCACTCAACACAAGGATCTTACATCTCATGCTGACTGTGTTGTTTTATACACAGAACATCGGAGGAGGGAATTCCATTCAGAATATTTACTTCACTGCCTTTTATGGCATGACAATATATCTCCGGATTTAAAAGAAAAAAGTACATTTACTTCTATTTCCTGGATCTCCAATAATAAGAAGTCCCTGCAGAGGGGAGCTTGGCTGGTGGTGTTTAGTGATTTCTCAGATAACAAGAGCTTCACATTTCTGTGGAATTCCCATTTGCCAGTGAGCTGCTGCTGCCGCTAGCCTGATTGATATATGACTGCAATGGCACTTTTCCATTTGACATTCTCTCTCCCTCTCTCGCACTCTCTCTCTCTCTTAAACAACAGCCCTAACTTTTGTGTGTTGCAAATATAAAAGGCAAGCCATGTGACAGAGGACAGAAGAACAAAAGCATTTGGAAGTAACAGGACCTCTTTTTAGCTCTCCGAAGAGTGTAAGGGAAGGAAGGAGCAGCACATTTCCCAAAGGTAAGCATAAGAGCTTTCACCAGATTTCAACATACTCCAGATATACTTAAACTGAGCATTTACTCTCTTCATCTGACACACACACATTCTTCACCTATCATATTTAAAGTTAAAGTGTATTCACTTAAAATATACTTCAGTTCTACTGCCTGCATCTTCCTATCATCATTATTTCTTTGCTTGTGTGTCTGTATGAGGATGCATATGAAAGCACCAGAAAGTAAATAGGTAACATATACTCTGGTTCTGAATAAAATAGTGAAGTACTTTTCTTTTGGGAATGTGCTGGGCTTCTGTCTGTGACTTGGCACTGATACTCAGTTGTAAGAATTTGGGGTGAATGGAAGCACTGGATTCTGTCCTGAATTCACAGAAAGAACTATAGTATCTCCAGCACTGTCTTTGTCCTATTACAATAAGGCTCTATGAAGACAGGCAAGCCTGCTCGTTTAAAATGGAACTGTTTACTTTTATTACTACTTATGTATGCTGATCTCTTGCCAGTCATCTGCTGGAGTGCTTGGAATAATTTGAAACAATAGGCAATATTTATTTCTAGCTTTGTATGTCATGCTTTGCAGGGGCACTTTTAATTTGCACATTATTATTTGTTGAAACTTCTGGGAAGCTTTACCAGGGACTGAACCAAACTAGTTATGGATTAGAATGGATTTAATGTATGTCTTTGATTGGCTAAAAACTCTGAGGAAACCCACAGTGTTTGTCTTGGCCGTAGCATTGAGGGGTATATTTAGCACTCAGCTTACCCCCACAGCACAACAAACAATTCGATGTGGATATGCGGTCAGTAGATCAAACTGGAGGATGCTCAGGCAGGGCACTGCTTTCTTCTGCAATCTGCAAGACCCCGAAACATTTGCAGAAGAACATAAGGACTGTTTCAATCCCCTGAAATCATTGTTTTCCAGGATAACATTTCACTTTAAAAGGAGTATCTCCGCAAAAGACATGAACATAACTGTTTTTTGTGTGTGTAGAACAAAAGAAGAGTATGACTGTGAACTGAATGATAATGTATCAGAGTACAGTATAACTGGAATTCATTGTAATGGATAAAACCTCATAAGAACTTAATTAAAGAAGACAGAACCATGTATCTACTGAGATTCAGGTGAGTCATTCCTGTAAAAGCTAAAATGTGTTGCTTAAATAGCAATAATAAAAAACAGAAGGATAGTTGAAAACATATCATCTCAATCTAATTTAAAATGTATTAATGAAATGATCTAGTATCGATGTAGCAGCTCAGCAGAGAAAGAGTGAGTGCAAAAACATTTTACTTTTTAATTTTTTTAAATTTTCAAATCAACAGTCTGGCGCTTACTGCTTGGGACTAGGAGTCAGAAGTCTAATAGTCATTCTAAAGTTTATTTAAACAACTACCACAGTTTTCTTTTCTTTAAAAAATAGCCTAAGAGTCAGTACTTATTATTCCTACCTCACAGGGATGCCATGAAGGTTAATTTGCTGATGTTTGTACTGCTCTTTGAAGACAAAAATTGCAATAAAAATGCTAAGTGTTATCAGTAATTTTGTATAACTTCATAACACAGCCTGTCATAATGGGAGCATGGAAGGGACACCATGTACTAGAACTGAAAGGAACAATCAAAGTGATCATTTTAAAACTGCAGTGATTACACTTCTCTTCATACCAGTGCTGTGTTTTAAAACGATTTCCTAGTGGAAGCAGCCCAGATGGTTGGTAGAGTTACTACATGTGGGTATAACAGGCATGATTCTGTTATCTGTCCCAACTTAAAAGAACATCTTGTTTTCACAGGATCTCATTTTTTTCTTGTGAATTGTTAACAGTACTCACTTTTGCACCGATAGTGAGATCTTATTCATGCTAGCGAGCAGTTATGTACATGAGTAATTCCATGGCTTACCAGTTTGAATCAGAACTTTGCAATTTAAACTCAAATGACATAAAAGTTGACCTCCTCCTGCTGGAATTATGAAATCTTATTTCCGGTATAACTATCTTACTAAGGCATGTTCAGACTATTTTAGTTTTAAAACATAAAGGGGATAAAACAGGTATTTGTTGTTTTAAGTTTACTTTGTCAAAATGTATTTTTATTAAAATTAAAACATTTATCAGTGGACTTTGGCCAGATATTCTTATTATGGAATCATTATTTAAGCCATTGCCTGTCAGTCCTACATCTTTAGATGCAATTTTTTACACCACCTATTTTTAAACAGATGCATGTATGTAGATTACCCATGCCTGATGAGCAGACCAGCTTGGTTGGTCTGCATACTGTTTATAGCAGTGGTATGTCATGCAGCTATCTAAGCATGGGCAATTTGCACAATAGCAAACCTAGACAGTCCCAGATGTGTCAGTGGGGCTTTAAAACCTGTTTATCCTCACTTGCTTTGATTGCTGAGATGGCAACAGCATTCCCCTAAATGGGAGAGAGTTGTGGCACCTTCTCTGAGGCTGTCATCAGTGATCCTCCATGAATCATTTGACAAGGAGAGCTTATGTAGTCAGCTTCATTCACTACATCCCCTGGGTCCAACCAGATTACCTCTCTCATCAGTCTGCTCTTCAGATGACCAGGAAGTGAGAAGGTTATTCCTATATCTAGACAACCCTGACAAAATCCTGCCAGATTGGGCTGATGTCAAGCCACCAAGACATCTTCTTATCCAAATGTTATAGCAGATTTTAAAAATGAAAAGCAAAACTAACTTTGTTAAAAGTCCCCACACCTCTCAGACTCTACACTTCACCTCAGGAGATAATTAGATCTATTGGTTTCAGGAACATAGGAACTGCTGCATTGGCAAGGACTGCTGGCCCATTTAATTGAGTGCTCTGTCTTCATCAGGAGCTCGAGTAAGCCACTTCAAGGAGAGATACCAAAATCCCTCTAATAGGCCGTTATCAAATAACCTATGTACCAGAAAATGTATCCCTATGCCACTGACTTAAAAAGTTGGCATATGCCCTGAAGCATGAGGGTTTCTAATCTTTCTCCAAACTTTTCCAAAAATGCCTTTGTTGTAACTCTAGAGGTTCACATCCTTCAGAGAAAAAATCTAATCCTTTCTTGAAGCCTCAATGCTATTCTGTGGAACTGAGTAGTAGAGCTATTGTTCATTATGTAAAAATGTGTGTCCTTTCATCGATTTTAAATTTGCTGCCTTTCAGTTTCATGGACTATCTCTTTGTTCTCCTATCTCAAAAGAGGGTGAATAGCAGTGCTTAATTCATCTTCTCCTTACCATTTGTGATTTCATATAACTCTTGATGGCTTTCCACTGGATGCTTGTTGCATTGTAACTCAAGTTAATTCCAGGATACATGCTTAGCTGCAGTCAAATTAGCTCATTGCCATGACTCCCTGTGGGCAAGCAGCATATTTTAATTTCCCACAATTCTGTACATGCATATGAAGAGATGCTGTTGCCTGGCCTGATGATGATCAGCTGTTATTTCCTTTTTATATGTGTCAGTGTGGAACATATTAAAGTTTCTCAGTAATGGAATGTTTGGAATCCCTCTGATGCCCCACCTCTAACTTAGCAGAACAATAAAAGCAAGGTTGGAGTAAGCCTTTGAGCAGCTGGTAGTCTATATATTCTTTCTTTTTTCATGTAATCTAATTCAGAATAGAATTGGGGTAGCACTGGCAGTGCCACTTCCAAACACCATCCGCTTTCATCCTATTTACTAGGATCAAGTGCAGGGCATATCCGACTAAAGACCCTTTATGTTAAAGGGAACATAGTCTTTCCTTTGGTAACACACTGATTGTCTACATTGTTGGGTACATTGTTATAGGGGAAACACAGCTACTAAGAATTCCACTATATGAAGATTATATCAAGATTCTTCACGTTCATGTTTTGTTTCTGCTGATGAGATTTTCATGCTTATTATGACTGAGCTGTAAACTATGACAAATATGGCAATGTAGAAGGCAGCACTGGTTATGTTGCCCTTTAAGATATATGAGTAAGATTGGAGGCACTGCCTGGGCTCTGGTTTGGCAAAGGTTAAGCATACCATGACATTGGCACTCACATGACTGTTATGGCATGTACAGAGGTGTGGGAGTGTTGAGCTAAATGGGACCCAAGAGTGTGGTGCCCCTTGTTAAAATACCTGAGTTGCTCTCATCGGCCAAATTTTGATATCCTTTATCACTGTTTGTTCCTTTGGGCAAGCTCTTAGAGATGCTAATGTGAGGTCTGCCAAAGTATAAGCTTAATTAAGAAGCACAGGATTTGGTGTGATGACTCCCTGCTGAAACCACTGGAAGGGATATATTTACTGAATAAGAATCAGTAGAAAATCATGATTACCTTTTTGTTCCTGCACCTGCCAGTTCTTTGGGAACTTAAATAAAACCAGACCTCAGTTACCAGTCCAAGATCATAACAACTAAGATGGAATCAAAAAGCACCTACTTGTTGGTAACATACTCCAACATAGACAGTACACACATGCTCTAATGCATGTCCCTTGCAGCTCCAGGCTCCAAAGTGACTTTGAATTTGGTCAAAAGTCTTGTTTTCATTATTTGTGTTAGGCTAAAGCAAAGGCAAACCCAACCCAAGATCAACATTTGAATGTGGGTATTGCCCTCAAAGAGCAGATACCTCTCCTGTTTCTTGCATAGTATGATACCTAGTGAAGGTTTAGAATTCCCAGTCAGAAAAGTTCAGCTTTGCCCATTATGCTTCACACCCGGATGTACAGCTGTTCAGATCCTCTGTACTAAAAGGCATGAAAATATATTCTTCCCTTGTCTTTTGCTAAACTCTTCATTAAGCTGCCTGAAATTCAATTAAGAAAAAAATAGGCTAGAGAGAGAACACAAATTTAGTATATCTCCATTAATGTTACTTAAGGCTTCATCACAAAGCTCTACAAGCTCCTGGGCTCTAATGCGAGTTATTCTATACAAGCCACTAGAGGATCTATTTAAAGACTCCTGGCAGCATGAAAGAGAAAG